ACCTTCCCAGCGGCTCCTCGCCCAACACTTGCCAGTCGACGGCGCAGGCACTCGAGTGGGAATGAGCCCCGCCTCCCCTCCAGTTTTGAGCGGAGAGAAAAGGGGGCGGGAACGAGGCGCGCAAGAACCAGCCAGTCATGAAAGGCTTAATCTGCGTTTTGCTCAAAGGCTCCTGGGAAGGTGTATGGGACTGAGAGGAGGGGAGAAAAAATAGCGTTTCTAGATGAAATCAACTAGTAGTTATAATTTTTCTTTCTTGGGTACAGCATTCCAACGAGCATACAAATAACTTTTGTCACCATAACAGAAACATTTACTGACATGAGAGGTTTAAATAACTATGGAGGCAGCTTCTTATAGTTGGATGTGAGGGCGATCTGGCTGCGACATCTGTCACCCCATTGATCGCCAGGGTTGATTCGGCTGATCTGGCTGGCTAGGCGGGTGTCCCCTTCCTCCCTCACCGCTCCATGTGCGTCCCTCCCGAAGCTGCGCGCTCGGTGGAAGAGGACGACCATCCCAGATAGAAGGAGTGTACCGTTCTTCGGTCAAGGGTATACGATAGCTGCGCTCCCCTGCTAGAACCTCCACACAAGCTCAAGGTCCATTTGTAGGAGAACGTAGGGTAGTCAAGCTTCCAAGACTCCAGACACATCCAAGTAAGGCGCTGCACGTGGCAGTTTGCCATTCTTTTTCTCTCTTCCTTCCCCTAAGAGGCCCCTTTTCAAGTTGTTTTTTAACATTCATTTAAACGGGTGTCAGTTTTTTTTAATAAGAGACAAAATATAGCAGAGGGGAGAGCAGTGTGAGTAAATGAAATGCAAAACAAATGTACAAGACAAACATTTAATCCAGAACCATTGGGTAGTAGTGATGGTCCTGGAGACACAATCGTAAGCATGATAAGGACCATTTTAAGCCTTCCCTCAGTGACTGGCTGCTGAGCAGGGTTTTTTAATGGATTGTCCTATCTGCTGCATTGAACATTTATTTATTTATTTATTTTATTTTATTTAACTTATATGCAGCCCACTCTACCCAATGGTCTCTGGGCGGCTTACAGCAATTAAAATACAATTAAATGATAAAACAATTAAAATACAACATTTTTTGGAGTTGCTGGTAATTTTTAGCATTGCATTTATTTCATTATTTTCATATTGTATACTCACTGTTCTGAGCTTTAAATATGGTCTTTTAATTATGTAAATCACCTTGGGTCATTTTCTAAGGAGAAAGGCTGTATAAAACTATTTCAAATAAACAATGGGTTTGCATTTAGTTCCTTCAAGAACTTGAAAATGTATTTATGTCATTCTTTGAGGACTGGGAACACGTCCCTATTGCCTACACATTTGCATGCCTCAGGGAAAAAATATATAACTGACTGAGATGCCTATTTTTACACCACAAAGTATTGTGATATTGTCTCACTCTCAGTGTGCATCTGAGTCATGAACAGTCATAGATTAGCAGGGCAGTGAGCATAGGTCTTGCCTGCACCTGGCCTTTAAAGATGACTGAAACATCTCAACATGAACAGGATTCCAGCAGTAGCCCAGCTGGTCTTTGCATGCACCAGCAGCCTCAGTGCCTAAAATGGTTCATTCCAGTTTCCTTAAACTGGATGGCAGCACACTTCATACTTGTATGCTTAACAAATACATTCTATTTGCATCGATAGATTTTGCCTTTGCAAATAAACAAATACAGTCCATCACAAAATATCAAAAACTGCTCATTTATCAAAAGGGACATAACCGAGCTGGCCAGGTGAAGGACAATGTAATAATGGTTGATACTGAATGACAGAAGGATCATTGTTGCTATCCTGACTATGGAGAGTTCAGGGAAGAAATTGTCCTAAAATTCAGTTGTTATTTATCAAGCCAACACAGAAACTTCGAGGGGTGCCTCATCTTAATATAATGTCTGAATTTGGCACTTTGTTTAGAGCTCAAAATGGCTGCCTGGTTAATAAAGCAAAGAATTATCAGCAGGGGCTTCTAGCAAATAAAATGAAACCAACCAAGTCTAGTCTAATGCACTAGTCTGCATTAAAACTGGTGGAAGGGCTGTTCAGTTTCCATTACTGTGGAGAAAACCAGTTAATGTTACTGCCATGGCTTGTTACAATGAATGGAATGTACAGTAGATGAACACCATCTACATTATAGGAACATCTAATTTTTGACATCAATGTTAATTTATTTCTTTTTCTTTTCACTAGTTTTTTTTAATTCTCACTCATCATAAACTGGTGGTCTCTAAAACAGTATGGCATTTAGCACATTATATGCAGGGGAAATATAGACTCAGTGGCACTTCCTTCTGAGTAAATTGGCGCAATAAGGCAAAATACTAACTGCCTAATAGTCATTTTAGTTAGAGGTCGCATGGAATTGAATGTTGTTGTGTGCCATCACTGCTGACTGTATGGCAATCCTCTGAATGAGTTACCTCCAGTATGGGAACAATATTTAATCAATCATATAATTATCAATAAGCACATGGCATGCTTGGCCTGATATTAAAAGCAATTGTATTAACCCATCTAGAAATTATCTTTGTGTTAGCAAGATCGTGGTTTTGTCAGGAAAAATTAAGCAAGCATGACAGTGAATTTGACTGAAGGTGGAACTTGAAGACAGAAGAAGCCACAAGCTTTAGAAAGGAAAAATATGAATAAAATATCAAGGAGAAAATATATACTGTAATTGGCTTGTTTGCGTATGCTTGTTGCTTTTTGACCTTTGGGACCCTCTGAGACCAATGTGCTTAAAGGCATTCCATGCATTGTCTTAAATAAGTAAAGAAACATGTTGGAGAACAAGTTTGTTACTGGGAACGTTAATTTTTTTCCTAACACCAAAGCCTATCATTAAGAGGGGAATAAGGTGTTACATATAATGTCGTTATTGGCAAGAAGTTACCTTTTTTGTAACAAGGGAGTTGCCTGTTCCTGTAACTCATGTTTGTGACAAGAGTTTATTACATTACATTATTATTACATTACAAAAACAATCCAGAAAGTGGTAGCAAAATAACATTACCAGTGTATTGATTAACCTAGGTACATTTAAAATTACTTTAAAAGGGAAACTTTGAGGGCATTTGGACAGGATTTTTTTTTCAAGTTTATGCTATTTTCTTGTAAATCTCAAGACTCTCCTCTCACTGTAAAAATGAAATCAACAAGTCATGTATGAAGTGACTTTTTAAGCACTGCAATAAATAATAAATAGTAGGCATCCTTCAGTCTCGAAAGACTATGGTAGCGTGCTCTGTATGGAGGACTTGGAACAGCGTCTAGTGTGGCTGAGGAGGCCAATTCGAGAGTTACAATCTCTTCCACACTGAAGACAAATCCAATCTGTCCCCTGTCCAGCTCCCTGGTTTTGCTTCCTTTGTGACTTCCTCTTTGCCCCAGCCTGCTGGACAAGGGTCTCTTCAAATTGGGAGAGGCCGTGATGTACCGCCTGCCTCCAGGCTGAACGATCAGATGTCAGAGTTTCCCATCTGTTGAGATCTATTCCTAAGGCCTTCAGATCCCGCTTGCAGATATCCTTCTATCGCAGCTGTGGTCTCCCTCTGGGGCGATTTCCCTACACTAATTCTCCATACAGGAGATCCTTTGGAATCCGATTATCAGCCATTCTCACAATGTGCCGAAGCCAGCGTAGATATCGCTGTTTCAGTAATGTATGCATGCATAATAAATAACTGTTCCAGAAATCACCATACTGAGCAACAGGAGGAAATCACTTTTTAAAAAACTTCCAAAGTTCTCCACACAAGCTACTGTAGTCACATCTGTCACCTGCCTGCAGATTGCTGTGTTGAAATTTTGTGTTGTTTTCAGCAGTGAAAAAAACTACCTTTTCCCCCCTAGGTATGGTGACACCCAAACTAAAACTGTGTGGCCATCAGTTATGAGGTCTGAGTAAATTCATTACTGTTACACCTCTGAATTCTCCTGCTTTAATACTAATTAGTTGTCATTGGAGGGCCAGAACTCTTCATGTGAAGTGCTCCCAAGGTAGGAGTCTGAGCATGGAAATTGTGGTAGTTTCTGCTGCTTTGGAAGCTAGACAGACGAGCATCCCCCGTATGCTTTGGAATACGTACAATTTTTATAAGCCCCAGCCAGCATGGTCAGGGATTATGGGAGTTACAGTCAAAAACATCCAGAAGACCCACATAATGTCCCCCCCTCAAACTAATCTGAGGGATTGGCTCCTTCAGCTACAGTGAAAAAGTCACCCTGTACAGGTTCAGATACACTTTCCACAGTATTCCAGGACTTAGCCCCGGTATTGAAAGACTGCTGAGCTGAGCCCATGGGTGCAAAGGGAGTTTCTGTAGGAGAAGGAATAATAATAAGCAGAAAGAAGATGGAAGGCAGAGCTGAGGGCAGGAGGACCTAATTTTGCCAGACGGAGAAGAAAAGGCAAAGGAGACTGTTAGGTGGGGGGGCGATAAAATTACATTTTAATTGATTGTTGTTTGCTGGCAATGGAGATACCAACAGTGCTTCTTTACTGAAGGAAGTACAAGGGTTTTAATCTGGGGAGAACAAACTCTGCTTCCTCCATGTGCTCAGAAGTGCAGGAAAGCGCTCCACACATACGCAGAGATCCCATCACTAGCCAGTTGTTATTTCTGCTAAAGAATCCTGGCCGTTAATTCACTGGCTGACCTTGAGCAGTGTCTTGGTGTACTTTGGCTGTGGAATGAGCTCATTGTCACCGCAACAGATGCCTTTAGTTGTTATAGTCTTGTTTTGGTGCTTTGTGTTAATGTGTGTTTGTGGTTATGACTGCCTTTCTTATCTTATGCCATCCTGGGATGTCAAGTGTCGAAATGGACAGTCACCCTTGTTTTATATGTTGAATTCACATTAAGAGGTGAGTAATAAAGACAACCATACACCGTCTAGTATGCAGATAGATAATTACTAAGAGGTGAGTAATAAAGACAACCATACATGGTCTAGTATGCAGATAGATAGATAATTACTCTTACATGACCTGCCATAATATAAATACAATAAATAAATAAATAAATGACCTGCCATATTTGTAGGTGTCTTAGCTCATACTTTTATAACCTAGACCTATTTCCTCCATCTCCTGTTTTAATCTGTATTCTCTTGCCATTCCTTCTGTTAAACTGATTTCACCCATGCCTTCTACCCACATGGAAGTGTGTTCCTGCTTTCATCTATGAGATGCTACATTAGCCTGCACACCTAAATACAGAGGAAGGAAGTATATCTAGCTTCAGCCTTAGCCTTCCTGTCCAGGTGAGGATACCTGGAATCAAGTGTCCCTTTGCCTCGAGAACAGTTCCTGTTCCAATAGCTGTATGAGTGGGTGGAGTAAACTGGCTCTAAAGTAGAAGAGAAGACCTCTGCCGATCCAAAGCTTCATTGTAGTGATATAATCCAAAGCATTTACTTTTGACTAGATCTTCATATAGTTTATTTGCCGAGAGCAAACAGACCCATAAAATATGTAAATATGACTTTGTGGCTATACAGCAAGGGGAACATTTGAGAACATCAGGCACAGACAGATTTAAATTAATGCAAGAGTTACTGGACACTATTGAAAGAGAATTCTCAAAACCACTTTATTCTGGGAAGAGGCTTTACAATATAAAAGGAAACACCTGTTCATCTTTGAAAAAGGGATCACAAATGATGCAATGTTTCTCATTGTAGCTAAGTTTTCAATTTATTTTATTTATATTCTTTATACGCCACCTTTCTCCCCATAGGGGACCTGTTTCATGGCTGCAATAATGCATCACCAGTGTTAGAACTGAAGTTTTAGCAGAGGTGTTAAACACTGACAGAATGAGACACTTTGGGAAAGATACGTACGAACAATAAACAGATAACATGCATACATTTCAACAACTGTGTAAGCCAGTATGGTTCCTTAAAATGAAGAAAGCTACTCTAGAGTTATGGCGCAATCCTACAGATTATAGGTAAATTCAGCAGGACTTATTCCTTTGTAAAAGAGTGCTTAGGAGTGCAATCTAAATGTATTAAAAAAGCAAAAAGTGTTTCCATTTCAGAACAGATTTTAAAAAACAAAATTGTAGTACAGAAATGAAAAACAGTGGTGAATTTATCTCACTTTAGAATAGAGGTGCCTTTCAGTCTGTTCTGAACCACTGGCTACTCTGACGCATGCAAACAAAGAATACAACCAGAAGACACTTGAGGAAACCTCTCAAAAGTTTTGCAATAGATTTCCATTTATGGCAAGTTACTGTATGTTGCATTTGGCCATATCCAAAAGAGATATTAAAAATGTTTGTTATATCACTTTCATGGCACAAACCAGAGATATATCCCCACCCCCAATTAAGGAGTATTTTTGTTGATTTTAGCCCAAGATAGCACAGAGAATAAAACTATTTCAATGTACACCTAGCATCTTGGTGGCATTCCCCATTCCCCCCTCCACCGCTCATATTATAAGTGTGAAAAGCATTCATGAAGACTGTGAGCATTACATTCTAACAGAGGCATGAAGAGATGAACATTCAGTGACACTTGGTTCATAGACACATCTATGAAGCTTAAGTGATTGGCTACATCAGTTTCCCTACCAACAGAGTATTTCTGAGCTACAACAATTACGTTTATAAGCATATTTGCAAAACAAGACCACTGAATTAAAAATGGATTGTGCCTTCCTTACTGTACTTAGAATTGCATCCTTAAGAAGAAAGCTATCCACAAAATAAAAAATGTGTCAACATGTTTAATAAGTTGTAAGACCTGTATCGTTTCTTTCATGTTCTCAAGGTGAAGATGATGCTGAACGCACTGTCCCCACAGCTCCAAGGAGCAAAGGTAATGATAAGGATGTTACAGTCTTATATGAAGCTACCCACCCTTATTTTAAATAAAGGTAGATATTATTGGCAATTTTGATTTCCCCTGGAGAAGGGAAATCTCTGAATTTCTTTAAACATCATAAAGGTTGACCTATGTAGTTTAATTTAACCTAATCCCTGAAAGGTACATATTGCAGGCAATACCCTGTGTAAGTGTAAAAATATCTAGTTAAGAATAAATTGAATTAATTACAAATGCAACTCAAATGATATAACTGAAGAATGATTTCTGAAACTGTGTTGTCACTGCAGAATTGAAAATGTTCAAGGGCATCTCCTTGCTAAGGCATTACTAGCAGGGGAAGAGTCACTGAGGGTTGCAGTGGACCAGAGAGTTATGCTTTACCTGGCAATTACATGTTGTGGCCCCTTCCCATTCCATCACCTCGCCCGTTTACCATCTATTTATTGTTTCCTGTTTCCTTCCAAAAGCCAAAGATTTCACACAGGAAATTCTGGCCAAATATAGCAGATTTATCAGGTGCACGTGGGAGAGGGATTTTTCTTGCTGTGGAATGTGCAGAAACACAATCTCTTACAAGAACAGTAATCATTAGACCGGGCACTTTCCCTCGGTAACTAATCAACTATGTGGCATCCAACCACAGGGATGGCAATACCCAAATTTTGAGCCATTTAGTGCTCCTGCTAGGAAAAAAAAAGGAAGCCAGGTTTGTAGTCATCGCCTTATGAAGAGAATTCTAAGTCCCTACATTTTGCAGACATCTTGCGTAGAAAAGGGCTGGAGCATTTGAAGGAAAAAAATCATGCCATGCTCTGAAACACACATATCGGCTACCATTATTGAGACTGCAAACTTTTACCTCAGACATCGCTCTTTAACTCTGCAGTTGAAGTATGAGAATTAGCCACACTTGCATGTGCACATCCCTCTGGCGTTCAATTGCCTACTCATTCTTTCACCTATACATGCATGGAGAACTGTCTGCCAGAGACAATGAAGGACAGGGCTTACAACACAGGTTCAGAGACAGGGCTTGGTAATGTTACTTTCTGACCTACGGCTCCTAGAATTCCCCAGGGAGGGAAGCCCAGAGCCATCTTGTTTGGGGAACTCGGGCACCGCAATCCATGGAGTCATTTTCCCAAGCTCTACTCAAAAGCCCCACACACTTCCTCCGGCTTCAACTGCAGTTGAGTTGTCAGCTGCTCATGCGAACCCATCATAATAGAAACAAGTGAACACATGATTTCTTGTATCTTGCAAGAGAGGGTGTCCCACTACAGACTGAAATATTTAGGAAGCAAGGCTGTTTTTAAAAAATGAGCGATTCCACTTTCAAGACCAATGTATGGACCTTTCTGGATCCAAGAGCCTTGTGTTGACTCATAATTTCTCCCCGAGCACTGAACTTATTTCCATAAACTGAAATGCATACAGATTAATTTTCCATTTTTAACTCATGGGGAAAAAATGATATGGCCTCTGAGTGAATCTAATCAGATACGAGAACCTCTATGCAACTGAACCAACTGTTTTCATTTGAAACAATGCATAGGATTTAATCTGTCCGTTTCTACACTATTTTCCACTGTGTAACTCCAGGGTCTAGACTTCTGGCTTACTGCTACCTACTAACATTTGGCCTTAATTTCTAGAAGGGGTGGAACCCAATTCTAAAAGTCTACCAGAAAAAAAAAGCTACATCAATTAATTCCTGAAGATAACTTTCTAATTATATGAAGGATAAATTGTGTCAACCTTATATAAAAAGTCACTGTGTTGTCTCTGGGATGGGAATAGCCAAGGTGTACAAATGAAAGGTAGACACTGCAATGTATAAAAATCTCTCTCTTTGCTGCTGGTGTGGACCTTAATATTTCATTTATATTACTCTAAGTACCAGCTTTGTCATACTTAGTATTGCTGTAAATATTCTCAATGGGCTATGCTACTCTTGTTAGCCACCACTGAAGCAGAATACTTCTGTTTAGAGCTAGTTTTGTTTTCATTGTGAAGCAAAGTTAGCATTAAGCATAAACTGGCATGAGGTCAGGACAGGGCCTGTTAACGCACTTCTGATGCTATACATTAAGTCCCTTACCAGTTCATACAATCAGGAGAATCAAATTAGTAAAGCTTATTGTGGGCTCTGTGTGTAGCACTACAGGGGATTGTACTTTAAAATTTCTTGAGCTGGGAGAGACGGAAAACAGATAAGCTGAACCTGTTTCCCCCACCAAAGTTAGTTTATAAATGCATTATAAGGGAAAGCAAAATAGAAGTAAAAAGAAAGATAAAACCATGGTGACACCTTAAAGGCTAATTTATATATTCTTTAATGTGAGCTTTTGTGGACAAGTCCACTTCATCAAACATAGGAAAAAGAGATTAACAAATATAAAAGTTAGTCTTTAAGGTCCCACCATGTTTTTTTTTATTTTTTAACTTTTTATTTCTATTTTGCTTTCATCTATAATGTCTATAAATGCAGTGAGTATATGTATGCATGTTTCTTTGCATTTTAAACATAACTACTCTTGCCTACAGCTTGAAGTGCTACAAGCCATGAAAAGCATCATCATTCAATCTTGCTGTTTTTCTAAATTGATCGAGTAGTTCTCTGTCATGGCAAGGGCAACCCAGCCAACTCCTTTTTATATTTTGCTACAACACAACCATGTTCACAAGTATTTGGTAAACCCCCTTCTTTCTTAATGCATCTTAATTATATTAAATACTGCCTTAGTTTGCTACATTTATTCACTTATGTTAAAAAGTGAACAAAAAAAGAAAAAAATAAACTTTTTAAAAAGTTGCATTTCAAAGTTCATCATATAAAAAATGCCAAAAACCCCACAAAGTACCCCACAATTCTAAGCTGATATACAAATGTGTATCGGTGCTATGAAAATAAATTGCCCCAGTCATATAATAAAAAACAATACAAAAAAGTTACAAGATTGCATTAAAATACATACAACTAAAAGTAAGTCCCCTGAAAACAGTCTTGGAATGTCTTGGGTCGTAGAAAATAAGGGTTGTTAGAACTTGAAGTTTATAAAATATTCCTGGAGACTGTCTTTATCATTGGTCGCTGTTCCAGAAATACACGTTCAAACTCAAGAATTCAACGATGAGCGGTGTATTTTGAAGACCAGTCAATTCGTCCATGGACAGGCTGAACAGGAGGTGGGTGTGGCAAAAGCACTGGTGTGCTTTTTATAGGCATATTGTATGATGTCCTCCCAATCCGAGGCCTCACAGATTTCAGAGCCGTGTATTCTACAAATAAATAAGAGAAACTTCAGTCTAGATAGGCTTCCCAGAAAGAGAAACTCTTGCTGGTACAGTGGGGTCTCGACTTAAGAACTTAATCCGTATTGGAAGGCAGTTCTCAGGTCGAAAAGTTCTTAAGTCGAATCTGCATTTCCCATAGGAATGCATTGAAAACCATTTAATCCGTATCTGCTCTTTTCGTCCATAGAAACTAATGGGAAGCTGCTATTCCGCCTTCTGCCACTAGAGGGGGATATTTTTCTTTTTTCCTTTTAACCTAAGATGACTTAGCTTTAAAAAAAGGAAAAAAAAGAGTTCGTAACTCGAATCTAAGTTCGTAAGTCGAGTCCATATATTCCTATGAGAGCGGTTCGTAAGTCGAAACGTTCGTATGTCGAGCCGTTCGTAAGTCGAGACCCCACTGTAATCAGTTTGCACCTGTCTTTAAATATTCTCAACGCTAAACCCTTGCAGCTGTTAAAACATCTATTATAGTAATTCTTAAGGTGACAGTAGTCAATTAGTATAATACACAGGGTATACAATATAACAATGATTTGATTCAATTGCTTTATTGAAGGTGCATGGAATGTGAATGTGTATTCTTTGTGCTTTTGAGTCCTTGTTGGTAACACTGAGTCCTAGGGCTTTGATAAAGAAAACTTTGTTATCAAAGCAAACTAGATTCTGAAGAGAAGCAGTGAGGATTTTCAAAAAACTTTCAAGGAATTGTTGAGCACAGCAAAATATGGACTATACAAATCAGGCACTTCAAGGAATGAATTTAGCACTTTGTAAGATTGAATATCCAGGCTTCCCAGCAGATGGTTATTTGACACTAAAGGAACTATATATATTATAAACACATGCAAGACAATCTTTTAGGAATCCCTGTGGCTGTATATATTTTTGAATATCACAAACATTTACTTTCTATAGATGACTGATATTTTATAACTTGAACAGAATAAAAAAAGCATGTAACTAAATTATTAGTAGATGTTTGTGTTTAGTAAGATAACAGAGGTTTTGTTCATATTGTTAGGCCTTCAGTGTGGAGTTGGGGACCAACCAACATAGAATGGCAGGTCTTTCTGAAAGTCTTTCTGCCGTAAGCCAGTCCTTCATAGGTGGTAGGAAGCAAGTTCTCTACTTGTTCCTTTTGTCCCTATGAACAAAACAGGGACGGACTCAGCTACAACCTGGGCATTTGTGGACTGTGGTGATCCCCACTCTTAAGATTCTTGTGCAGTGACACTCCTTGCTATGCTTCACAGCACCATCTGTAGAAGTAAACAGAGCTTACGAGAAGATAGGTCCATAGAAGATGGATCAATGACAGGTGCTAACTGAACTCTCTGGCCAGCAGAGCCCACTTCTTTTTTCAGAAATGAAGGAATGTAAGTACCCGTTAGTCCATTTGATCCCGAATGGCCTGAAAGAAATTCCAAACAATATAATAGGTCAGTACAAGCACTCACAAGATTCCATTTACCTTTTGCAGCTACTTCTCTGAAAGAAACATCAGTTAATATTTAATCCAGGTATTGCATCAGAATCTGATGTACTAATTTAGCATCATTTCAAAGTCAGTGGCTCAAATGCTGTTGCTTAGTGTGGTAAATAAGAGCAAGGCCCTTGAATCAATGGAACCTATGGATGAGGTGTCTCTCCTAATTCCTGCTGATTCAGTGCCCCTATTGGAGTTGCAAATTATTATACTAGGCAACAGGATTTCATCCAATAATTTCCCCCACTAGGGGTGTAATGAAAACACACACATTTTCTTGCCCTGGATGAAAAAGGGTCAACATATCGAGACACCCCATTTTTAAAAACACCAGCAAAAGCAAAAGGATCAGAGGTTTTGTCAGCAACAGCATTTACAAATACATGTATATTTTGTACAAGAATCCCCTTGTGTTTTGTGCAAATGTCTCACAATTCCCTTGTATTTTGTAAAAATATACCTATAATTGTTTAACCCCCCCCTCAAAAAAAAGCCAAAAACCCCTCTCATAATCTTGCCCAGCCAAAAGGATATTTTTACAATTTTTTATTCGCACCACCAAGAATGAGGTAAGTGAAGGCTTACAAACCTGTTTACATCCCTAGCTCCTAGTAATGTAACCAGCGAAATCCAACCACCAAGAATCACTGGAAGTCTGTTGGAACCTGCTACCCATGTTATAATCCTATACCATATTAAAAACTGAAACAGAGATAGATCCCTTTTCTCTGGTTCATAACCTTGTCATATAAAGCAAACACGCACATGAAATGTGAGATGGTACAGTCACGTGAAAGGACTATACCATTTCAGCAACTCAGCTGAGCTGTCATTACACTTTGCACACCTCTGGGACAAGGGCCAGTGCAATACCAGTTGAGCATACTTGCGCAGGATCCAGGTGGAGAGGGAGGGAGGAGGCATCTTGCTGGTGTGACAGGTTCCCCTGGAGGTGGCTCAAGTGTTCATCAACTGGGGACTAACCAGCAAGCAGGGCAGACTGCCTCTGCACATTGGGAAGAATCATACTTGCTCCTTGGGCAAGTAGGAAAAACAGACAACTATCTGTATCACCTAGAGTTGCATGAGAATTGTGCTAGCACTGGATTGAGGCCGTTTGATTTTATGTGTATGGCATCATGATCTTAAATATGCACACTTATTTCCATCTCAAACTTACTTTCATTTCTTGCACAGAATTATGAGGAAACAAGTGCTATCCAACTCAGTGGGACAAAAGCCTATCCTTAGGCTATAAACCAGCACAAGAATTTGGCCAAAAGGTTCTTTCGAAGCTTATTCATTCAGGTTGATGGTGTACATACAGGAATCAAATGCAGGGCAATGAAAAAAGAGCTCATCAGCTGATGACTCTTTCCCCCCTCAAATGGATGTTGGTTCATCATTGCATCCATTTTGCCTGCTTGGGGCAATTATTTCCGAGAAGCCTGTGATATTAGTGCATCACAAAAGTATAGCAAGCATGATGCTGAATTAAAACACTGTAAGAAAATATTTTAGCCCATTTAATCAGTTTTAGTGTTGTTGTTCTGTGTTATTATGTTGAAACTTATAGCGACTCTAATAGGGTTTTCCAATGGAAGTGAGATATTTAAAGAGTCTTTTCACCAGTTCTACTCCCCCATGGCTGAGCAGGGATTTGAAGCCGAGTCCTCTTGAGTCCTAGTCTGTCACTCTATCTATTACACCATACTGGGCACTTTTACAGCTTTTTCAAATTAACAATGTGGTTTGTAGTTAATGTACAGTGAAAGGAAGATGATGAGTTACGCCTGATCCAAACTCTTCTCAACCCAGATTCACAGCCACAGTGCCAGCATAAGGTTAGGATAATCCTAAATAATTTTCAACATTCCTAGGTTAGGAGGGGCCTAGATTTTGCGTAGTCTCCGATGGCTTTGTGTCAGCTCAGCCTATCCTCAGCTATTTTGCCTAGTTAGGACAGTGCCCTTGGCTCAGTAGGTCTAGAAATGTAAGTGGCACTGATCAGCAGGGCTTAAGAATCACATTTTAAGTTATGGAAAATACTACTGTTGTTATTCAAAACAACAAATAGTGTATCATTAATTATGTTTAGCAATCCTTTGCTTTTCCAACAGTACGGAGATCAAATCAAGATCTGAAGAGTTCCTGTTACCTTCAGTGCACAAGTGTGCCTAACAGGTCTGTGTTGTCTCCCTACCCATTTGATTTTAGCCAAGAGAAGCAATCTTTCAGAATGTCACAATAGCGCCTCTTACTGGAATTCAGCCGGGCCATCCCTCCAGCCACTGTCGACGTCTTTCCAGGCAGGCTAGAACCAGGCCATGGATTAGATGCAGCAGAATCTTTGCTTGAACTGGAGAAATTATTTCTTGTGCTTATCCCTAGGGTGAAAAAAGAAGTGGCTGTTAACATGTTGCAACACCACATTTACTTCCAGACCTTCTTTCTGCCTCCATTTATATATAGGCTAGAGGAGTTCTCCTGTGTGGAAAAAAAGCGGCAGAGAAATAGCCTCCCAAAGACCAGGTAAGAAACGTGTAGCTCTTCAGGTGCTTCCGGACTGCAATTCCCAGCATGACTCACCATTAGCCAAGCTTGCTAGATCTGATGGGCATCGCTATCCAATTGCACCAGACTCATCTCCATCCTGAGGGTGCATAAGCACATTTAGGATGGTAAAGCTAACTATATCTCTAACCAGAGAAGAATACAAGAAAGTGGCATCCGGAAGTACTGAATGAAAGAGGGGGGGAAACGCTCCGAATATGTATCTGTATCATGATGGAGGACCATTTCCAGCCACCGGAGGTCACAACCTTCACAACAAGCTATGTGAAGATGTGTAAATTCTGCCAGTTCTCTTTCGGGTCTGCTAAGGGTAAAAGGCTTCTCTGCTCCTCTTTTTGGTTAGTCAATGAATGAAAGGCCTTGGAAATCTTCAGTTCCTGAGGGGGAATCATTTACTGCGGCCATTGCAGATAGGCAGGGACGTGGTGCTGCTGCGGGTTAAACCGCTGAAGTCTCTGTGCTGCAAGGTCAGAAGACCAGCAGTCGTAAGATCGAATCCATGCGACGGAGTGAGCTCCCATCGCTTGTCCCAGCTCCTGCCAACCTAGCGGTTCGAAAGCATGCAAATGAAAGTAGATAAATAGGTACCACCACGGTGGGAAAGTAACGGCATTCCATGTCTAGTTGCGCTGGCCACATGACCATGGAAACTGTCTTCGGACAAATGCTGACTCTATGACTTGGAGACGGGGATGAGTACCGCCCCCTAGAGTTGGACATGACTGGACTAAATGTCAAGGGGAACCTTTACCTTTACATGCAGATATCCCACACAACTAGGATGAAATTGCACACCTCTTAAGTGGTATTAGACCATGGCTGCTGTTTTTTATAATCTGAGCAATTTCTAATGAGAAACTAGACAGAAATGAGCCGGTCATAACCAGTGGCAGATACACATATGAGAATTGAAGGGCTAGGCCTATCCTCTGCTATGAAACTCAGCACATGGACCATAGCAATGTGTTTCACTGCAGCCTTGCCTAACTTACAGGATTATGATGAATTCCAAACCATGAGTAAAGCATACCAGAAAAAAAGAAAGGAATTGCCAATGTGATAAAACAACAACCATCACCGTTTATACTGTAGGTGTTTTAGAACTGAGGATAGTTTGACCAATAGCCAATTAAGTGTCAGTAATAAGAAACAGACTTGCCCCTGAGGTTTGTTTAATTCTTACATATGCCATTTGCAAAAATCCAAGTTTATGATATTTTTGGAAACACCGTCTCAAGAACTGCTTCTGGCATTTGGGCAAATCAACTAAGAAAAAAGAAGACATGTCTTCATACAACAAAGTCTGTGAGACCTGGGACTTCAGGTTGTTCACGCCTATCAAAGTCTCATTTTCCACATTTAACAAAGGGTCACAACAAATATTTTATTTGTTTGTTTACTAACCAGGTAAATACCTAGAATGTTTCAAATAATGCTGTTTGGCTGCAGAAACTTGTAATGTCGGTGTGTCTTGGCGAAGGTAGGAGGGTGCACTCTTTCCAGTCCCTAGGCAAACAGAAGGCTTCAGATCCAAAATACTTTCAAACCTGTAACCCAAACCAAACCACCACATTTATATTGCATGCTCGTTTCCAAAGAGAGAGAAACAAAATGTGCAATGCATATTCTCCAAGAAGCAACAGTCAAATTCAGACTGGCCCAATGCAAATGCCGACCTGGGTAACATGCTCTGATGCTCAAATACAAAAAAGCAGTGACCAGGCTGAGTTCGTGAGTTTACTGAGCGCGGAAGGCTCCTGTCACACCCTGGGCATAGGAGAGACCCAAGGGCAGGGGAGAAGGAAAACAGGAGCCATGCCACCGAGTAACCCAAAGCACACTCAGTTGGCAGGAGATGAAAATGAAGCAAGCAGGATCTGTGCTCAAGCAAACAGGCACAGGATTAAGCAGCACTTTCCTGGGAAGAAGCTCCACCAGTCCAAGTGCACTGCATTCCCAGAAGCACATACAGTGGTGCGCCGCATAGCGACGATAATCTGTTCCAAAAAAATTGTTGCTATGTGGATTCGTCGCTATGCGGGGCAAAAAAGCCCATAGGAACGCATTAAAACACATTTAATGCGTTCCTATGGGCAAAAAACTCACCGTTCTGTGAAAATCCTCCATACGGCCGCCATTTTCGCTGCCCGGCACGCGAGGAAAGGGCGCAAAAACAGTGCAGGCGGCCATTTTCTTTACCCGGCGGCCATTTTGGAACTGCCAATCAACTGTTAAAAAAACACTGCTATGCAAAAATCGCAAAGCGATTTTTGGCCATTAGGAACATTGCAATGCGATTGCAAATAACATGCCGCTATGCGGATTCGTCGTTAACCGAGGCGCTCGTTAAGCGAGGCACCACTGTACTGGATTACACTGCAAAGGTCTGATCCTACACGTGGTTAGTCGCCTTTAAGGGCAGCCTCAGTACCCAAGTCATTAAGGCCATATCAACCCAGCATAACAAAGAAGTGCTTCTGTGGGTCTCGTATGCCATTCACACCCGGCACAAAGTGAAAAAAGGAGACAGATTGAAACCAATGGTATGTTGTAACTACTATATGCTTGAAGTTCATTGGTTGGTTTAAGTTGAGGTGGGCCCTCCAGAAACACCTGCCTTCAAACATAAACAGCTTCATGTACAAGAACACCAGCTCTCAAAATTCTGTTTCTCCTTGGTTGGACAGAGGTTGTTTGAAAATCCCAGGGGAAGTACAGAAGAAGCCAGGGGAGGAGTCTTCCTGAATTCAGTGGTGCACATAGGATAGCGACTTTTAAGTAAATATGATTAGGATAGGAGTGTAAAGGTACAAAATTAAAGCAGAGGTATGACCACAATTGGCAGCTGCATATGCGTATCATTCACAAACAGAAAAGAGCAGGAAACTTGCCTACAAAGGATGTCATCATTCGGTCCCTTGTTTTTAAAATCATTTCTGGTAAGGGAACGGTTGACCTCACAGCCTTCCAGATCTTCCCAATCCTCAGAGCCTTTTAGGGTTCCCGTGACGTGCTCCCACCTGCGCCGGTTCTTTGGTATGAGATCTCCATTCATTTTCTCTGTCCCAATGGCTGCTTTCTGTTATTTCAGGACCACAAAATAGGAACAAGAAAAGCATGCAAAGTTCAGACCCGCTGTGTAAACCACAGAGTACGAATTGGCCATTTCCTTCCATCTTATGATTACTATCATCTGGTATCTTTGGACTACAGATGGGATATTCGTCTTTGTATCTTAGGGGCACAAAGGTGAATATCAGCACCACAGGTGCCTGGAGAAACAGGACCCTCCTCGCAGAACCGGCCAGTTCACTTACACTTGCCATGTGTTGCACACATCGTGCAAATTGCACAAGAAGCTTGGCAGGCACTACCTGGCTTCTCCACACAGCCGACTGCACAGCAGCTGAGGGGGGAAGACTTGTTGTCCCCCCCTTAGGGGCACAAAGGTGAATATCAGCACCACAGGTGCCTGGAGAAACAGGACCCTCCTCGCAGAACCGGCCAGTTCACTTACACTTGCCATGTGTTGCACACATCGTGCAAATTGCACAAGAAGCTTGGCAGGCACTACCTGGCTTCTCCACACAGCCGACTGCACAGCAGCTGAAGGGGGAAGACTTGTTGTCCCCCCTCCTTGCTGGAGTGGTCAGCTGTGTGGGGAGGTGGGAAAGCACCAGCCAATCTACTTCCGTAGTTGGTGCAACGTGAACAACGATGGCTGTGCATGCTGTGCAGTGACTGGTAAGTCGACTGGCCATTTCTCAGGGAGAGGGTCCGATTTCCCCGGGCACCTGTGCTGCTGATATTCGTCTTCATATCCTCAATATTTGTCTTTGAATATATCCCAGATATTCGCCTTTTCTCTGTTTTGGACTTGAAGCATGTCTTCCTCTGCCACAAAATCAGCTGTAGTTACGGGCCAAATTCAACATTCGATCGACGGAGGATTGTCTGTCCACACTGACTTTTGTTAGAGGATCGCTCCCCACACCTGGGAGAGATCTCGGACTCCCTTTGATGTCAGGGACCTTCTGCACTAAGCACTAGGTCAGATTTTATTTCACTCTAGCAATCAAGTAGAGGAACCTTAATTTTTCCTTGTTTGTGAGCTGCAGTGATCATTCACACCCATCACTGTAGCAACGCTTGACCTGCTTCTGCCTGCTCCACACCAAGAAAGCTATTTTCTAATGCTCTAGAAAACGCCAAAACCCCTAAGACCACGGGTCTGCAAACTATGGCTGGCAGGCCACATCTGGCCTGCCTTGCCTTTTATCTGGACCGGGCACAGGAAAAGGAGGGAAGGGGGACCCAAGTGACCCGCCACCTCCGCTTGGGTCCCCCTTCCCTCCTTCGGCCCTTGAAAATGTGTAAAATATATGATGCAGCCCTCATACGGAAAAGTGTGGAGACCCCTGCCCAAGACCATCACAGAACAGCCTTCATGCAACATCCTGCGGTCTCTCTCTGTTGTTATGGGAGGAGGGAACTGCAGAGAGAGAAGCTCAGTGGATCAGAGGGAAATTCTAGCATGTCAAAAGAATCTGAGAGTGAAAAAGTCATACATAAGCCTCACACACTGGCTACCTCTGTTGAAATAGCCAGTGTCAGAAAACAGTATGCGCACGTTTTCTGTTTCTTAAAAAGCACCGATTTCAAAGATGACATCCTACCTGCTGAGGGATTTTACTGTGAATATCTGGCAGCACCACCTGGCTAGGTTGGTCTTCCTTTAGACTGTCACTCACGGAGGAGTCTGTCTTGTAGGGGTATATCACAGAGTGGGATTGCTGGTTCTGCTGGAATGGCCTGAACGAAAGGCGAACTTGTGCTTTAGGTGGAGGCTGCGCAGGAGGAATGGGTTTGATATGGACTTGTGCTTTATCGGGGAGGTCCCGCTGCTGTTTTCCCAGCTCCTGAATACAGCGAGAAGTGGCCAGTGCTTGGCCAACCTGGAAATAAGGATATCGAAGTGCCTAAAAGCCAACAAAGGTAACAGTCATTTAAACCAGGAAAAGGGGACAAGCAACAAGGCAAGGGATGTTTCTAGCCCCAATATTCAGAGTTATTTATATGCCCCAATTCTGCAGAAGGCCAGGGAAAGCCCAGAAGAGAGAGAGAGAGAGAGAGAGAGAGAGAGAGAGAGAGAGGGGTGTGTGTGTGTGTGTGTCTGTGTCTGTGTGTGTGTCTGTGTCTCTCTCTCTCTCTCTCTCTCTCTCTCTCTCTCGCTCTCTCTAGATTTAGCCTTCTTAGAATTCCAGGTATTAAAAGGCAAGTTTCTTAAGGCTACAAAAATGTGCTTGGAAAAGCATAAGAAATGTTTGCTTAAACTACCAGAGGCTACAGAGTGGGGCACTATCAGTCTTCTGTATCATTCTGTTTTTTTTCCTGAGCAAAAAAACCAGTATTATATAAAATGGCATGAAACATAAGAAACAAATCGGGCAAACAAAGAACAATTACACAGTTGCATTCAATGATCACAGTTTATACATCGGGCAAAATCTGGACTGGAGACCTATAGAATTTTAGAAATCTTATCTATGGTTCTATAGCCTTTCCTATACTACCTGAATACTGGTCCACAGGTTTACTCTTTGTACAGCTCATCTGTTATCTGGTTACATAGGTAGCTTAGCCCTAGCAGAGGCATTTCTTCATGTTTAACGAGAACAGGAGAGTTTCTATTATTAAAATGCAGAGCACACACTCTCATTCGTTCATATTATCCCTGCAAACAAATACAAGAACTCAGAGGCCTAGCAAAAACACTACCCACTCCTCTCACATTTTAAAATACTGCTACCGTCCTGACCAAAAAAATGTGCCTAATTTAGTGGGTTCTTCTTCTTCTTCTGAAATGGCACATGGGTGTGCACAGTGAAGGAACAGGAGAGCTTTCACGACCAGTTGTTGGGACCAGCCATAGAAGAGGCCTGATGCTGCCCCTTCCTATCTGTGGCATTCCCAACGGCACCTGGGTGTCCAACATAAGGAAACAGGAGGCAGGACTAGATAAGCCTTTGGTCTGATCTAAGGCTTGTCTACACACTTGGAAGCATCAGGCTAAATAGGGTCAGCAGGAAGTCTGGTATGCCCTTTGGTGTGATGACATATGGACCTCAAACACCCTACTTGGTTTGCAGCAGCCTTTGCCAATGTTGTGGAGCAGCTTAATAAGACAGCCACTTCAGAATACTGGCAAATTAATACTTTCTTCAGCTCTGTGGAGAGGCCAAGGAAGTGAATATATATATTTTTTAAAGTGTGTAACTGACAGCGAACATTTGCTACATCGCTTTAAAAGGAATGCTTCCTCTTGTTTGTTTGCTCTGCTTTTCTAGGTTTAGTAGAGATCCTACCAACACCTGAACTCGGCCCTCCACAGAGTCAAGGAAGTGACTAATATGACAATATCCTGAAGTGGCTATCTTAAGCCATGTTACAATATTGACAAAAAGCTTGCTTTTGGTCCATTTCCAGCAACTACACATACTGGGAACAAACCAAACAGAACAATCTTACCCACACCAAAAAAAAAGAGAACTCCTGACAAAGGCCAGAAAGGGTAGGAATGCTCTGGGAACAATCTGATTTGATCCAGCAATTATGTTGTGTGATCGCGGTCAAAATGTTCAAACCAACCTGTGCCTGCAGTGGTCCAAACAGCAGGCTAAAACCTCTTCTGACTGCACCCCTAGAAGTTGGACTTTTAAAAATGTTCTTAGGTAAGGAAGATGATACACAAATACAGAAATTGCAAGAAGAGTTGGGGAAAAGCCTGAGGTGGCTGAACAGATTTTGCCCAATAAAATAAATATTTCACTGAATTGGAGCTAGCAGCAAAATAGATGCACACAGTGTTTTCCACTTGCTCATTTTTTTTAGTTTGAAAGCTTCCCTCAGTCCTGAGAGACCCAGTCTACTCCAGCAAAAGAGAGACTTGTAAACAGATGCCTATTAATTAGAAACCGACCTGGCTTGCTGTTGGCCGCTTTTTGGGGTCCCACTGCAGCATGTCTCTCATGAGCTGTATTGCTTCACTGCTTGCATTAGGGATGAGGGTCTTCAAGTTATTTGGTACACAGTGAGGCCAGCGGAAATTCATGGCACTTGCAAGCTGGTAGCCTTCAGGCCAGTCATTCTGAAAAAAATTCAGGCATAACCATTAGGAACATAATGTATCTGGGCCACTACTTCAGCCCTCCAACAGATGTGTTCCTCACCACATTGCCCTCTGCTTTAATAGGCAATATGGCCCAAAGTACATAGAAACATGGTGAGATAATCAATTATCCTGGAGGAATTAAAATGAAGAGCTCTGTTTATATATTCAATGGGGGAAACAGAGGTTGTGGTGATCCAAGAGAGTCTGTGGCATCTAGCAAAATCAAGAGCTCCTTCTTTAGCTGTTTTCAACTCCAGAGTGACACAAGACCAGTGACACAAGTGGGGACTGAGCAATGGACATAGAGAAATGGCATGACATTTACTGGGATGGTTGCTACTACCCTGATATAGATTAAGTAGCTTTAAGCTTAGTTCGCACTGAGGAGGAAAACTGTGTCAGAGCAGTACCACTCCACCTTTCCATACAAAAACCTTCCTCAATAGAGAGACAAGATGCTAGAGACAAAGGTTCTACAGCTTCATTTTTCCCATGATTTTCCATTTGGAGGATTTGCTGTTGGTGAAACCTTCCATCAGGTGGAGTTCCAGGCTACTGACTAAGCTGGTTTACGGTCTTGCTAATACAGTACTAGGTCTCTGGTTAAAGGTTAAATATACCTCCTCAAAATTCTCTCATTGCTACATCACTGGCTCCTTCTTACTCATGTGAAGAAACCGCCAATAAGTCTCTCCTCCCCCAGTATTTCACAGAAAAAAAAACCGAGACAAACTTTCTGATGGTGACTCTCACAGGCCAGCAGCATGACTTGGTAGACAACAAGGAGAGAACCGAGTTCAGACACAAATGTGCCACTGACTGAGCGGACCCTCTTGATTTAATCCAGCCCTCCCCATGAAGACCAATGATACTTTGGAAAATTAAACATAGCCTTTCAATGTTAAGATTGCTATAATAAAGTCATAGCTGGAGCCTTGGCAACTCCCCTAAGATGCCCAGAGCTGTTGTCAGGCCTGTGGAGAGCAGGAATTATACTGTAGCAGTTAGTTCTAGCTAAGGGACAGCTCACTTCACCAAGTGATGGCTCTACAGCCAAAGGACAGTGCACGGCAACCAAGACTTCAGGCACAGGGGCAGGAATGGGCACTTCACCTTGACCCAGATGTCTAGGGCTGCCCCTGTATTAGGCAGAGGGAGGCTTTATACTGGATTCATGCTTTTCAGAAGACAGTTGAACTATTTAACAGCTGAGGAATACTGGGGGATAGTAATCAGGGGCAAGCCTGAAAGCTGACATAAGCCAAAATTTCTAAGTAAAGTCAATGGAGTTGAGTATATGCAGATTGATTTTCTAACCACCAAGGCATTTAAGCAACCCTCTTCCAACACAGTGAACCGTCTGTGTTGAACTTTGCAGGATGTTATTTCAAGCAGATTTCCGCAGATCCAAGCTATATGACATTCCCCTCTTTGCTTCTTCACGCAATGTTATTATTTGGCCTGTTAGAATAGTATAAAACTGAATGGTCTTGTTTATTAGCTATCTAGCATCAACAGCAGGGCCAGTAAGTATTAAGGGATATGGGGTGAACACAGTAATGTTTGTAGGACTCTGTGCACAGCGCAGACCTGATCAAGATCTTGTTGGGCCCCAGGGGAGCTGCCTGCTCTAGGCACCGTGATGCAGGACCTCACACTTGCCCTAACACTGCCCAGTTCCGAACACCCAGCTTACCCTTGTGCAAGGAGGTTGTGGTTTTCTCCTTGGGCAAGCATTAAAAAAGTCAACTTGCTCACAATATGTCAGTTGCATGAACGTTCTGACTCATATGAAAATTTGGCCTGGTTTGGTTTTAATATATGTACCTTTTTTGGTGTTCCAAGTACTTGGCAAATCTTGAAAATGGTATCAATCTCACTGGACCCTGGAAAGAGTGGCCTAAGTGTGTAAACTTCTGCCATGATGCAGCCAACGGCCCAGATATCAATGGGGGAACTATAGTTAGTGGATCTCAAGAGTACCTCAGGAGCTCTGTACCTGGAAGCCAAAAATAAGTGGAAAACATTTACAAAATATACCAGTCAAAATGCTACATTAGATGAAAAGCCCAGTGAAAGCAGGAGATGCCCTTCGGCATGCCCACAGGGCTAGAGAAGTCCGACTTAGGGCAGAATCCTGCACCAATGAAACGATGAAGTGATGCTTGTTGTGAAGAGTGCTTGCGTCTTCTCCAACTCCTCACTGCCTATGCAGAGATAAACAGCCTGTGGAATTTTAAATAGCAAGTTGCTGAGTGCCAGCTAAGTGACTGGCTGTTGCCTGCAATATTCCCAGTCCCACAGAATTCAAGGGAAACAGATTTACCAGAACCCGTAACAAGAGAGCAGGAATTCAATGCCATGGATTCGTCTCACAGCCCATTAGAGAATAAAGATGGGGGGGGCTTTAACATTTGGCAGAATGACGCAGCTGTTTCAAAGAAACAACAATGTGTTGAAGGAAGTAGGGATCTGCCACTCAGCCTGACTTGTGCCCCATAAATCAGTCCACTGCCTTCGGACATGATGGAGCATGTTTTTCTTGTGCCAGAGGAGAAATAAGACACAAGTGTCAATCCCGCTGGCTTTTGTAGTTTTAGTGAGAAAAGGTGCCATTTTTAAAATTTGCCTCAGGCAGCAAAAAGTCACGAGCAGTCCCTAATAATGACCTCTGCCCATTCAGAATTTTGAAGAAGCTCATGCGAAGGGCCGGAGAAACGATAAAATGTGGAACAAACTTTATAATGTGAAAGAAGAGTCGCTAACTCTCCTTCACCAGCCATCCACAACTATTTCTCCTGTTCTTCATTCTCTCAACTCACAGGCAAAATGAGAGAAAATAAGACCTAAACAACAAACAAAATGGAGCATTAGGTGGCTCCTCTTTCACTAGAGGAGTGATTTCAGAGCTCCTCAGCTTCCCGTTTAAGGAATTCTCCTGAGAGACAGCTCTCACATGGTGGGTGTGCTCCCATGTGGTAATGCTTGGTGTGCTCTAATGGGACCAAGACAACGCACCAGAAGCTCTAGCAAAAGAAATAATCCAGATTCACTGAACAGAATGGCGTTATTCACTAGGACATTCTGTCTTTTCTCTATTCACTATACATTAACCATCCACTGACAAGATCTCCTCCAGTTATATTCTTTGTTTATTGTGTAAAAATAATGCAAATTCTGTCTCAAGTATCTTTCTCCAAAGACACAGATTCCTTGAACAACAGCTGGTCACTCTTTGCAGCTTTAACAGGGGAATTCAACCTGTCTCGAAGGGACAGGCCCTTTCTTGTTCACACATTGCTGGACTGAATAGTTCATTCCTTCAGGTTGAATCCATTTTAAATGGCGTGCAGCAGTCAGAAGCGGACTTCTCCACCAACCTCCACATAGCAATCCCTTCCGCCACCCCCCCAAGGGCATACTAGCCCTAGTGAATGGGGCAGATGATGCTTTCATGGAGGTGATGTGCAAGGCGTAGTCCTAAAAGTTAGGAGGAGGCACCTCCTATGAATGACCCCACATCGGATAGTGTCGTTCGGGGGAGCCCCCTCCATAGCACAGCCTTCCCACTTTGCAGGGTTCCTCTGTGTAGCATTTGGGTGTTGGAAAGTGAAGAGCAGGAGGAAGCTTAGACACCCACTTCTGCCAAAATATTTCCTTGTGCCTAAATCTGGAGCAAGGGACGTGGTGGCGTTGCGAGTTAAACCGCAGAAGCCTCTGTGCTATAAGGTCTGTAGATCTTCAGCTGTAAGATGGAATCCACGCGACAGAGTGAGCGCCCGTTGCTTGTCCCTGCTCCCGCCAACCTAGCAGTTCGAAAGCATGCAAATGCAAGTAGCTTAATAGGGACCACCTCAGTGGGAAGGTAACTGCGTTCCGTGTCTAAGTCGCACTAGCCATGTGACCACGGAAGCTTGTCTTCGGACAAATGCTGGCTCTACGGCTTGGAAACGGGGAGGAGGACCGCCCCGTAGAGTCAAACAAGTCTGGACAAAAATTGCCAAGGGGAACCTTTACCTTTACCTAAATCAGGAGCCATCCCATTACATATGTACCCAACTGAATCAAATGGACCAAGGAAGAAAATTCAGAGGAGGATGCTGGGGCTGCCCTGTAGTCTTGAACGTCCTGAAATTATACAGATCGTGGGGAACTGAAGTACTTACTCTTCAGTGCCACCCGCAGCATCCTCTAACTCAGGTACTCACCACCTTGTGGATACATAGTCAGTGTAGGGAGGCCTGGATCTAATTTCCCGTGCAAGGCCAAAGTCTGCGATTTTGACAAGTTCTGGTCCCATGCAAAGGAGGTTTTCAGGTTTCAAGTCTCTGTGAAAGAACCCTGGAACACAAAGCGAAAGCTTTGTTTGGTGCAGGGCTTCCTTCTCACCTGGCTGGTTCTTACTTCATTGCAAGCATTGGTTTTAATGCAAATCCCCAGCAAGCTCGCCAACCAAGCGGAAGAAAACCAGGGTGACCCACTCATGGCAGATTTGGTTGCAGAAAGTGGTAAAAGCATGTCTTTTTACGGTATGAAAGCAGAACTTGGAAAAGCTATTTTTCTGAACTAGAACTGCCAGTTTTCCCACCAATGTGACCAATGGTTACAGCTCTCTGTGAAATTAAGTCCTCAGAAGCCATTTCCCAAATTCTAGCAGAAAGATAATCACTCTTATAATTTGCTAACCAGGTTGTTGCCACTGGAATGGAAAAAGAAAAGAAAAAAGAAAAAAAATACGAGTTGGAGAACCAGTTAATTTTGAGGAAGGGATGCTAGTGATTAGGTATGCTAGATTATATACCAGATTATTCTCTTGTACTTGTGCTTTACATTTATGAAGAGCTGAGCGGTGCCTCACAAAGTAGGGTAGTAGTCACTATTTCTCTCTTTTGCCCTTCTTCTCGTTTCTTTCTTTTTTTTACACACGAAGAAAATAATACAGACAAGTATATTTCACACTGCAGAGTACAAGCAGCCAAAGACTTCTGCATCCAGCATTAAGCTGCACAAGGATAAGGTATAACAAGGCCAGTTTTACCCTGTTTCCCCGAAAATAAGACCTAACCTGAAAATAAGTCCTAGTATGATTTTTCAGGATGCTCGTAATATAAACCCTACCCTCCCAAAATAAGCCCAGTTAAGTGAAACCCCACCTTCCACCATTGGGCAGCAACCAGAAACAAATGATATGACTGTATTTGAATAAATGTAGATTGTTGCATATGAAAAAAAATTCCTGGAAAATAAGCCCTAAGGCCTTTTTTGGAGCAAAAATTAATATAAGACCCTGTCTTATTTTTGGTAAAATATAGTATTACCCTTACGATTTCACACAGCTACGAAGGTCTGTATGTGCTTCAGAATCTTGTATCAGATCTCTAACTGCACAGGTCACTATATTCTCTTTCAGGAAGATAACTGCTTTTTCTCAACCTTATAACTCCTGTCTAGACTAATAACCCAGTACCACCTCAAAGGTGTAGGAAGTCAGCATAACAGTAGGCTGTCTACCTAAACAAGGTGGCTTAGCTGACATATTTCATGCTGTGCATTCACTACATATTTCATTACATGTCCTATTAAGGTGAGTGTGAATATTCCCAAAAATAATTGTGCACAAGACTGCAGCCTTAAATGAAAATAGCAGTATGTTTATCTACAGTAAGTAAATAAATGTTTTGGAAACAAATAGTCAGAGAAAAATTATCATGTCTTTCCCATTGACTCCATCTTTAGTGGTTCATTTTCACCTCTCTGAATTAAACAAGAAATATTTAGAATGACCGAAGTATTTCTGAAATGTTTATTTACAGGTCTTTTCCCCATGTCATCCAGGTAGGCAGTCACAGATACTTTTTCCAAGGTAGTGTATAGCAGAGGTCGTCAATCCCCGGTCCATGGCCCGGTGCCAGTCCGTGGCCTGAGGCGGACCGGGCCACGGAGACAGACCTCCTGCCCCCCATACGCACTCCCCTCTCCACAGCTGTTTTGTGCACACACACGCGTGCCAGCGCTGGCGTGAGCACTCCCCCACCCGTTCATCCATGTGCCCGTGCAAAGGGGTGGGCATGCACGGGGGGGCGTGCAGGCGCTCCTGCGCATGCGCGAAGGGGTGGGGGAGTGCTCACATCAGTGCTGGTGTGCGTGTGCTCCCCCACCGCTTCGCATATGCGCCCAAGAGAGCGCGTGCATGCACCCAAGAGCGCAAGCACAGGGATGTTTGTGCTCCGCCTTCCTCAGAGGCTCAGCTGGTCCACGGTCCCAAAAAGGTTAGGGACCGCTGGCGTACAGAACTTACCATGTTTATGTATGAATGCAAGTCCTTGAAGAATCTGATACATAATATTCCTGACAGTCGATTCTGGAAACAATTTGTTCCTGTAAGGCAAAATTGGAGGAGGGAAGTTTACGTCCACATATGGCATTTCTTAACTTGGCTTATTGATCTATTGCTGATATACTGGAAAGCTCGAATAGATTAGAACAGTACAGGGACAGAAATTACATGGTGCCCATGTGATGGCAGGATGATTTGGGAAATGCCTCCTGCCTTTACCCTTGCACTTAGTTGCCCTTTCATTACGGCTACAAGTCCCCAGCCTCAAGGCTGGCATCAGTACCTGGCATCCCGCATTTGTAACTTGTCTGAACTCGATGAAACAGATGGGACTGCATAGCAGAAATACTTGATAGTGGACTAAATTCCAAAGCACTGATTAATTATAAATTTGAGACAACTATACTGGAAATGTGCATGAAAAAAACAACAACGTACCTCTCTTTCATTAACTGATAAAGATTTTCCTTCATGTATTCAAATACAAAGTACAAATTATCATTTTCCCTGATAACTTCTTTCAGTTTCACCACATTAGCATGGTTGAGTTTCTTCAGGGACTGAAAACACAAGATAAAATATAGTTGAGTGTGTGCTTTAAGGTAAGTAACAATACATCCTTGTTACGGGACTGTAACTTGACTTACTGCTCAATTTAATTACTTGGCTGTTTAAAAAGTGCAGAGTCAGATGTGCACAGTGTTCTCCCGGCCTTATCCGATGCCTGATGATAAGGAGCATGTGACACAAACTGTTCTGCAGCCACAAGGAAGTCAACGTTCCTGAAAGAACGCATCATGTAGCCCAAAACAGCCTCTGACTACGGATATGCTACCAAATGTTTCTCCCGTGGTGAAGGAATCCGATACTCCATTTGGACTGGGTGAGCATCTTCAGGTTGTCATTTCTGTTCCATCCCCTTATATCCACGACAGCTGTGCTAACTTCGGGCAGAAAGGCAGCTCTCGTTCATAAACCATGAAAGAAGCATCATAGCTAGTCGGTCATCTAGGTGATGCTGTGAATGTGCCAGCAGCAAGGAAATGCTCAACTTGATAAATTGATCAGCCAGTTTTACTGACATTTTACAGTTGGGGAAAAGTCAGCCTCACACTAAACCACTCTAGAAACTTCATTAATCAGGTGATCTGGAAGCCCACCAATGACCCAAAATGGTTTATAATAACCATATGACACTACGTTTGCAACTGGGGAAGAGATCTACATAGTCAGCCTTTCCAAGATGAGCGTATGCAGTGGATTCCAGTTTCCTGCTGGACTCCATTCACAGGAGCACAGCGGATAATGCCATGTAGCGAATCTAAACCATTGTCATATGTGTTTTCTCCACATTTGTTCACACCTCTACTTGCCTTTTCTGCCTGTTGTTTGTGCTCAGCTGACTAGAACATTTACGTCCTTTGAGAACAAATTGGTTGCTTTTTGCTCATTCCTAAACAGCTCAAAGGCAGCATCAAAGTTATACATGTCAAATGCCTCTAAATAATCCTGTTCTACTTTTAAGTATCATTCGCAAGCCTTCACAGCACAGGTTTCACCGAATGGAATACTAATGGAATGTAGATGTTTAGCAGAAAGACATACACTCGTAATGCGCAGTCAATTTAAAAAGAGACAGTATGTTCCTCATTTCAAAGTTCTCTGTGCCAAGGGGCAAATGGACAGAAATGGTAAGTACCTTCACCTCTCGAAGATTCATGCATTCTTCCCAGGAGTAAAATTTCCTCTTCATCCTGTGAAGCAAACAACAAGTCCTATCACCTACAACCGGACACCATTTGGATTCTAGTTTCATCAAGATACAAAGCTAGATACATTAATACAAGCTTGCAACAACCAGATATAACTTGGTAGCATGGAACCGCTCTAACCACACAATTCGTATGGTCCTCAAACAACAGTTTCCATTACTTTATGAAAAAAGCCACTTTTGACACCGAAGAGAATGCCAAAAGCCAACCGAGATGTAGTTTGCCTGTTCAAAGGTAACAGGATGAAATGGTGAACAATATCCACCCCAACAGGCACAAATGAGCTCCTATATGCCAAGGGCAAATTCTGTACATCTCCATTTCTATGCACCAGTTTAATAAAAGAAACAAAACCAGGTTCCTGCTTTTATTGGCTAGAAAGACAGCTTTTGTTTGCTAAAGTCCCAGATGAACTGTGCTTGTTGCTGCTCAACTTGCAAAATAGGATACATGGCCATAACACATTTGGACCAGCTAGCTGCATTTTTATTTCACTTTATATTTTCGTCCCATGACCATGAATAACTGTAAGCAGTTTGCTATTCAGCAACTTTCCACGTGTGTGTGTGTGTGTGTGTGTGTGTGTGTGTGTGTGTGTGTGTGTGTGTGTGTGTGTGTGTGTGTGTGTGTGTGTGTGTGTGTGTGTGTGT